CCTTTTATACTTTTTTTTTTGAATTTTTTTTTTTTTTTTTTTTTTTCTTTTTTTTTTTTTTTTTTTTTTTTTTTTTTCCCCCCCCCCCCCCCCCTCTTGTTTTCTTTTCACTGAACAGCATGGAAAAACTGAGGTGGAGATGGTGAATGAACAAATAGACTCTGTTTTTAGGAAGGCCTGGTTTTGTCCATAAGGCATTGTTCTTTCCCATCTATAGATACCCAAACTACCTCCGAGTGAGCGTGGGCAAGCACTGGGAGCCCTACAGCTGCCTCTTCCTCCTCCTCCTGCCCCTTCCCTGGGCACCTGGAGGAGCGGGGTGTCCCAGCTGGGGAGAGTGCCAGGCATGGGTGGCTTGTCCTGCTGTCAGTCCCTCCCCAGTGCAGAGCCCACTCCGGGGCAGCTGGGCATTCACGAAGGAGCAAACACCTCTACGGGACACCCGTAGAAGTGATGGGACTAAAAACCAAAGCAAGCCTGGAGGCTGGGGTTGGAGACATTTTGTTCCCTTTGGCTGCTACATCTGCACGAGCTGCTGTGCTTTTAACCAAGGAAGTGGTTGGCTTCCTTGGCGGTGGCTGGGGAAAAGGGGTTTTGTTTCCTCACAGGTGAAGGGACTCGGCTGCCTTTCCCCTCCTCGCTGCAGAGTGTTTTCCTTCGGCAGCCAGCGGCCGCCCTCTGACCAGCTCCTCGCCTTGCCAGTGATCAGACACCGGTTCCTGCTACTTGCTAAAAACAGAGGAGCTACTTGCCAGGAACAGAAAATTAAAAGAGGAGGTCAGCCATCTGAGAGAGAAACAACAAGATCAGATTAGCCATTATAAACAGCTGATTTAAGCTCGGTGCAATAACGGCTAAGCCAGGGACTGATCCTGCTCTACTTGAGTCAAGACACCTTTCTCCTGGGGGCCCATCTGAGCTGCTTCTCCTAGGAAAGCACTGCAAGAGGGAACTCTTGCTTCTTAAGATATTCTTGCAAGTCTTGTCCAGCTCAAACCTTTAACACCGAGTTTCTAGCACGTAGGTGCTGCCAGAACAATATGCTAAAACTGCAATTAAGGGATAAAATAGACACAGTCATGCTTAGAACTAGGACAGCATAAGTGAGAAGAAAAGCTTTAATGTAAATAATTTTAATCGGTTTGATTTTAATACCACCAAATGCCTCTGGCTCCATATCTCTCCGATCTCCACATCTCTCTTGGTTACACATGCATGCACAGAGTAAACAACAGTCACTTCCATGTCTCCACTTAGTGCTTCCTTTATTGGAACATTTGCAGGTATTATTTATAGACATCAAATGGGATGAGAGTTTGAGATTTATACGCTCTAATCAGCTGAAGGTGTTTCCAAATAAATTAATGAAAGAAGTCAGAAATGACATTAAGAAATCCAGCACTGGATGTAAATCACAATGACTTTGCACCCCCTCTGCCTTCCCCTTCCTTCCTGCAACAGTCCCAGTGCTTGCCAGGGTATATGAACTTACATTTATTTTGATGTAAAACAAGAAAAAGGACGATGGAAATCTGTGCGCTCAGTATGCCAAGTTACAGTATTTGTGCATAAGAAGGAAAGCCAAAACTTGAGCTGGGACAAAATCATTTCCTATCACTTAAAACTTCCCATGCAACCTGTGTTATCACTCAAACCATACAGAAAGCAGATTTAATGGGGATGCTTTCCAGACCCCGAGTGGCTGCTCTGAGTTTCATGACAATTTCTTGGCCCTTTCTGGTGTCCTGCTTGCATCCCTGCCAATCTGCCTTCTCTTGACAGGTTCCTGAGCTGTTCTAACACTCTCCTGATTCTCCCAGTGATTTCAATCTTTGTTGCCATTTGACACCTCTGTTTCCCTCCTGCAGGAGCACTGGCTCAGAAGGATGGCCTGTCTCAGCCCGCCTGGCTGCTCAGGCCGGATTTTAAGGACGACTGAACACTCCAGGCATGCAACTGCAGCATCCCTCCCCAGCCAGTTTTCCTTTGCCTCTAATGTGTGAACAGAGAGCTTGAGCCCAGGCATGTTTTGGTGGATAACTAGAGCATTATTATAGACAATTACAAACAAGCATTGGAATTCACTCTGAAATGAGTATTTCATAGAGTAATGGACTCATAGAATGGTTAGAGTTGGAAGGGACCTTAGAGATTATCCAGTTCCAACCCCCCTGCCATGGGCAGGGACACCTCCCACCAGACCAGGTTGCTCAAAGCCCCATCCAGCCTGGACTTGATCACTTCCAGGGATGGGGCATCCCAAACTTCTCTGGAAAACCTATTCCTTACCACCCTCATAGTGAAAAATTTTGTCCAAATATCTAATCTGGATCTCCCCTCTTCCAGTTTAAAACCATTACCCCTTGTTATATCACTACGCTCCCTGATAAAGAGCCCCTCCCCATCTCTCCTGTAGGCCACTTTAAGTACTGAAAGGCTGCTATAAGGTATCCCCAGAGCCTTCTCTTCTCCAGGCTGAACAAGCTAGCTCTCTCAGCCTGTTTTCACAGGAGAGGTGCTCCAATTCATAAACATGTTCCATCCTTAAACTGTCCTAGTTCAATGGTTATTTCTATGCTAAGGTCACCCAACTGCCCATAGTTTAGCATAGCTGCCATCACTGACAAACAGCCTCTAACCTTTTGCAGGCAAAAGTGCAGCTATAGCTGATGATTACCATTGTGCAGAAAACCTCTTTAGAGAGACTAGAAAACACTAGATGACTCTTGGACCATCTCATCTTGATCTGTACCATCACTGCTATTGCTGAAGGAAGAGAAGGATGAAACTGGGGCAAAGAAACATTAGAGACGAGGACTACACAGAGGTTTCTCATTAACTTCTTTTGTTGACAGAAGTCTATCACATCAGCGAAAAGAACTTAATTTAACATGGCAGATGCTCAGAATGGGCTTGTATCAGCCAAATAAGCCAACATTCAAAACAAAGGTAGCAGTGCTTCTGAATCAGTGTGGCTCTTGCAAAGCTCCAGGGTTTGTGAGGCTCTCTGGGCGTGCAAAGTGATAGTTTTGTACCTCGTTATCCAAAAGTAGCACTTGAACATTATCCCCACAAACACTGTGTAAATATATATGTAAACACTACAGCATGTATCTACACACAAATCCTAGGTACAACATGACAGGGTGTATGGCAGAATCGTGTTGTATTCAAATCCTGATGAAAAAGCCCAAAGAAAAGTCTCTGAAATCCAGGCTGCCTGAAAAGCCCTGCCTCCAAGATGGTGACACATGGTTTCTGCAGCTGTAATACACAGACTTTTAATTAAATGTATGCAATTCTCATGTTGTTCCTGCCAGATTCCCAAAAGTAACATTTTGTGTATTTTCTTTAAGAAAATTATAGTTAGAATTAAAAGCCACCTCCCCTGAAATGAACAGTGGAGAGACTGTGGGATGTAGGAAAGCAACAGACTTTTAACTGGTTGGTCTTAGGAGCAATATTTGAAAATCTGAAGTACAAGATCTTGTCTCTTTCCAACAGGGCTGGAGTATTTCAACAAACGTATCTGCATTCAGCCAAGGTAAACGGCAGGTCAGGAAGCAATGGAAAATACAACTCTTCTGCCCAAGAAGCCAAAACAACTTCCTTCGTGGTACAGCATGTGGCCATGGAAAGAGTATAAAAACTGGGAACCAAAACCAGGGTTTCTGCTAATGAACTTCAACTGGTTGCTAATTTTTTAATTCCTGATAAGCAGTACCGCTGCCTAGACAACGGCTCATGGGACCGTGGAGGAAACTGGCTGGGTGATGATGTCATCTCATTAGCCACACTGCTTTCTGTTTTGCAGCATATTTTATTTTCTAGTTTGTCTGGGAGAGAAGTACTGGTTCAAGAAAACAGAGAGATCGATTTACAAAGCACTTTGGGGAAGTGCAAATTGATCCGACTTTTCTGAGTATGACATGTTTTTCTTACCAAATATTGAAATCTGTCTTAAAGAGAAACATATTTCTGTGTGTGCAGCTCATTTGTTCCTGTTTTCGTAAAATCCTTCACCTGGGCTTGACTTGCAATGTGGGTAGCACCTACTGGGGTAGAATTCCTCATGAGAAGGAAGAAGGCATGAAAGAATCATTCTAAAAATTCAGAGATTTATTCCTGTGGCATTTCTCGTGAGTAGAAGGCACGCAGGAAGGCAGGATGGCAGGCAGGAAAGAAGGAAGCTAGGCAGGCAGGCAGGAAGGGAGGAAGGAAAGAAGGAAGGAAAGAAGGAGGGAAGGAAAAGCTTTTATTAACATGGTCTTTGCACAGTACCCTGGTGCAACACTGGCTGTGATCAGAGCTATGAGTATCTAGTCCTTAGTCAACTTAATTGTTACACACACAGACTAGACTGCATATAATAAGGAAAACACTATCTAAAATCTGCTTTAAAAGTTATTTAACCAGAACAAATCATCTGGGAAAGTACAAATATTTCTAACTGGAAAAATATTTCTCTATAGCTGAGCTAGGCCTGACAGCAAACCTTAATGAATTATTAGTACCTTTATTGTTTTCTTTGGCCCCTGTGCACTATATTTGTAAAAAAAAAAAAAGTCAGTAAAAAAGAGAACAATTGTAAAAAGCAAATATTTTGTACAAAAATACAAAGTTTTAAAAGCTCTTAAAAGTATATTCCATATTATTGATAAGAGTTGGACTATATATATATATTTATATAAAATCTATATATTCGTGTATCTGTATAATTTTCCTACATTTGGGATTTTAGCAAATGAAACATACTGTTTACACAGTTGCTTTATATGTTTTTCTATATGAGTGACCAACAGTTTTACTCAGATTGACAGAATGTCTTTTCTCAGAAGACAACAGTTGCTTATGTATATGGTTACTGGTTGGGAAGAAAATCTATAACAGAATTAGTCCAACGGTATTTCCTGATGTTGTGGGTTGAAAGGCCTCAAATAATTGCAGGATGCTGGAGAACAGTTGCTGCTGAATTCCTTTATGCATTTAAACCAGTTTTCAGTGCTTGCTTTTGTTGTGGGTTTTTTTCCAAATTTGGCAGGCAATGTTGCTCTCTCCCAGGATTTTCTTTAGGTAAATTTCCGTAATATGTAGGTACCTGTAAAGTCACAGCCTATTACACTCCAAATATTTGCGCTACAGTATGAGAGAAAAAGAAAAACAAAAAGAAAAAAAATATGTTAAAAACCTGTGAAGATTAAAAGCATTTCCAAAAACAAAACAGAGAGATCAAGGTATGTTAAAAACTTAAGTGGATGCATATTCAGATCCTGTAAGCCCTGAGGATAAATATTTGTAAACCATGAAGTTTTCCTAAAATAATAAATGTATGTAGGAAGATGATGGCAAATTACATTGTTACTTACACATGGTCCTTTACTCTGTACACCCAAACAGTGCTATATACACACAAAGCCTATTTAGCACTTTGTTTTGGTTTGGTTTAGAGAGGCATATTTTACGGATGGGATGTAATTCTGGCTCTAGCTGACTTCTCCACCTGCCTTCACAGAAATTGAGCCTACATGTTTGCGACTGGAGCAGCCAGGCAGCCTCGGCAAAGCAATGTTTGAATAGGCTATATGGAGGAGAGAGTGTTTTGGGTAGAGCTCCCACCATGAACACAAATACCACCTAGCTCTGTGATGATGGGGCTGGGGTCTAAGCAGCCATGTGAACAACCTGCCCTCTGCCATTGCCTGTATAAGCAGAAAGAAACACCCCGTGGCAATCACGGGGGTGACTGCTCAAACACGTTAGCAGTTTATGGGTTCTCCAACTGCAACAGATGAGTTGTTTATGGCCTGTGGACCCAGCCTCTCAGCCCTACAGGACATCCGCCACCAGTGGGAATTTTAAAACCTTCTTAGCAGTCACCAAGTGCCTCCTGTTGCACAAACTCTCGAAACAGAGTTCTTTTGGTTTTCAAAGGCTGGTCCCCGAGCCATCCTAAGGCCAGCCTTCCCCCCTGCATGGCCATTGAGCCTATAAAAACAGCTTCCAGTGTGGCCAGGGTCTGGAGCACTCGTGCCAAATCACACTTGAAATTTTAGGCATGTTTGAAGTCTACAGGAGATGGTCAAGATGCAGGGCATGCTAGGCCTACAGCCAGCTTGAAGGCTGCTCTTTTCTTGTGGTGAAGGGACCCAAGATTTATTGCAATAAAACTAGCACCTGCATCATGCAGACTATTAGAAAAGCCCACATTGGGCTGGGTCTGAGTAGAAGTACTCCAAGTGTGATTCCCCTTCTTCCTCAACAAGGTACTGCCATAGCACCTAGTCTTATGCCTGGATCTTCTCCTCTATAGCTGTGGAAAATTTACTTGAATTTGGCCTCCTGGGGGTAGGGTGAAATAATCAAACCAAGTGACTTGCTTACCTTTGTCCATGTCTTTTTCACAAATGAAATTGTTAACATCTTCACAGTAAAAGTCATTCCAGAGCCCAGCATAGATTAACCCGGCGCAATCTTCCCCTGGCCCGTGCCCATGGCTCCAGTTATCAGGTTGCCCGGTTTTCCAGTTTCTTTCAACCAAAAAGCAAGAGATATGATTGCACAACGCAGCGCACATGACAGTTTTTCACCACAAGAAATTAACAAAAACATCATGAGATCTGTTCTGAACGGGAAATACACATTGAAACAAACAATACATAACTCTTGCTGAAAATGGAAAACAGATGTATTACAGAGCAGGGAATCTATTCAGCCTCGGGCTGCCAAAACTCAGAGACCTAAAATTAGACCGATGAACTTTTATTTCAGTTTCTGAATGCACATGCACATACAGTGGGAGTGCTCCATGCTCCATGTGCGTTGCTCCAACGCTGCAAAGCCTGTGCACTGCGTTCCTGCCGGTAGATGGGACTGAGAAGACCCAGTGGGCTCCTGAATGCTGCCCAGGATGGCAGCACCCTGCCACCACTCGCTGCAAAGCCCTCCAGCCACACCAAGGCGGGCCTCTCGGGAGGAACAGCAAGGATTTATCTGTTTTACATACTCATACTTGGATGCGAAGTGAATTTTTGGACTTATAAGGAATGTACAAAGTATATATACACATGCATCTTTTGAGATCGTTAGCTTTGATGGTGAAACTTAATGCAGCATGTAAAAAGCTTGCAGCAAGTGTTTCCTCATCCTGTTTTTGTTTAACAAGTGAGAAACGCTTCCAACCTTAGGACTTAAAAGCTCCTTCTTTTCTGAAGAAACTGGTTGATGAAGGGAGCTTGTGATTGCTGGCTGATACGGTCCATGCTCAGCTGAAAAACATGCCTGCCTGACACAGGCACCTGGGAGGACACACAGCTTTCCAGATGTAATGAAATACTTTGAAAATCAGCAACTGACAGCTTTGAGGTTATAACAGGGCACCTAAAACCACAGTGACTACACTATTGAAAGTAGTAGGTGAAGTGGGAATCAGTCACAGTGCTGTCATAAAGAGAAAGAAAGATGAAAACGGGGAGGGAGAAAAAGGGAAAAATACTACGGCTCATTTGAAATACATCTGACTTTTTCCATGTTTCTCATCAAAATGAACACCAATGAGATCACAGCTAATCATTTTGTAACATCTGACTGACTGTAGCCTGTTTTTCTGGATCACAGCATGCTCAGCTCTATAAACTCTGTAGTCCACTCCTCAGTATTAAAAATTTGGGTGGTTGCAATCTGTTCCATTTAGGACAAATTAGGTGTAGCCCTAGGATTCCTGGAGAGCTGCCAGTTCACTTCTCAGATGGCCAAAGCTTAGACACTCTCATTTCATGCATTTTCCTTATGTTTAATGTTTTCCACTTGGATTTGGGCTTTATCTAAAGGCTGGTCATTTTTTATCAGAACGAGTACTCTATTTATAGCTAGTTGTAATGCAAATAAGGAAAATTCAAACCAAGACAGCAAAACTGTCTGTGCTTTCCATCTCAACTTTGTAATAAAAGTCAGGAGCAAAAGTTTTGGCAAGAAACACTGCGCTATGTAGTTCTGTGATTCTTTCATTCAACATTCAGTTTTCTTCCTGGCAAGGAAAGAAAGCTTTGTGCATGGAGAAGGGAGAGAGAAAAAAACAGTTCAGCAGCACCCTCAGTAACGAATTATTTCGTTGGCATCTATAACCCTCTGGATCCACTGGATAATTTCTAGATGCTGCTTGTCGAAGTGTCAGCAAGAGTGATAGCATCTGCAGAAAATAAACACCATTGCTTTTTATTTACGTACGTGTAAACTGGTAAGGATCCATCCAGCCATCTCCATTCATTTTCCTTCTCTGAATCCGTTAGTCCAATCCAGAAGCTGCCTTTCCCAAAAATCTGCCTTTTTATCCATTGCTGTAGAAGAAAGACCATGGTCCATAACAAACAAACACAATCTTCTTTGGATCAATTAGCCACTCTGGTTTCATGAGCATCTTTGTTATCAGAGCAGGAAGGGCCAGAGAGATTTTTCTAAGCTGAAGGACTTAGTTTCAGGACTTGGCTTTGTGACCCCTTGCCCACCTTAGAATCTACCAGTGTTTGTACGTGAGTTAAAGAGCTAGGCATGAAAATTAGGTTGACATAAAGTCACAGCCAACATCTTATAAACACAAACTGAAAAAGCCAAAGAGCAAGCAGTTGTACCTTGACATCCCCACTGCTATGTAGCCACCAAACAGTTATGTTGAACATTAGTAAAAGTATAGCTAGATCACAGTAGTCTTAGACTCCACGTATTAAATAAGAAAATTTAAAATTAAATTAAATTCACCACTGCAAGAACCACATTTTGGTTAAAGACTCCATCTTTAAAGGTTCAAAACTCCTACAATTCTTGCCAGCCTTCCTGGCTGCTCTGTGCCCAGCACCAGCTGTACTCACACTGCCCTTCTGCACATGGAGAAGCTGCTGAGCAGGCAGAGGGTGAACAAAATGCTAACTGGAGTCAGTTTACTTCATTATATGAATTCATGATGCTCTCAGCTCCCCACTTGCCTTGTGGCTTCCACATGTTAGATAACTTCAAACTCTCTCCTTGAAAAACAGAAAGTGAAGGTAATTACCTGCTCCTCTTTGTTGTTTATGATAACCAAACGTGATGCCTTGTCTTCACAGAATAACTTTGCCTCTTCGAAAATTTCTCTTTCAATTGAAAAGTAGTAGCACTTTTCTGTATAGTTTTTCCAGTGAGGAGAACAACCTGTGATGTGAATTTTTTGTGTTAAATCTGTTACTGATAATTCAATGGAACAGTGGTAACTTTCTGCACAGGGCCAATAAATAGTGGAGGATGCCATACTCACCTACAGCATGTTGCCACCTAAAGTACTTACATACAGTTTGGGAATTTACTTATTAGGATCCTGATTCTGTGAAATCAAGGCTAGACTGTGTGGTCAAGAGGATTATTTATTACTCATACTACTGCTGCATTTTCTTTAGCCGTAAACATTAACTTAAATCAGTTTCAAGTCATCAAAAGGAAGACCAACAGGTATGGCTTCACTTAGAGTTCTTTGTGATAAATCCCAGAGATTTAATCTAAGGTAGCAGAGGTTATTTGAACCAATAACTAAGCGGTGAGCACTCTCCACTACATATATTTGTATCTCAGTAAAAGATGCATGTGATGTGTTGACAGCTTACCATTAGCCTCAGGCACTGACGTTGGTTCACTTTGTAGTGCCATTGGCATCCCCGGACCTGGTGGCCCTGGTGGTCCAGGTGGGCCCTTTGGACCAGGCATCCCAGGGACTCCAGGTAGCCCAGGTAGTCCTCGAGGTCCTGGTACCCCTGGTTCTCCAACAGTTCCTTGCAGGCCTTGAAATCCTGGTGGGCCTTGTGGCCCAGGTGGACCATCCTTGCCTTGTGGACCTGGTGGCCCTGGGTCTCCGCTTGGTCCAGGCAGACCAGTCTTGCCAGGAGAACCTCTCTGACCTTTGGAGCCAGGTGATCCTCTTGAACCTTTCCCTCCTTTTTCTCCTGGTGGCCCAGCTGGTCCAGGTGGGCCCTTTTCACCTGCAGGTCCTGGTGGTCCGGGCTCTCCTTTCTCTCCTTTTTGTCCTTTTAGGCCAGCGGGGCCAAGAGGACCTTGAGGGCCTCTGTCACCTTTAGGTCCCCTTGGACCAGGAGGACCTGAAACAATGTAAGCATGCAAAGTGGGGATATGGACAGAACACAAAACAAAAAGCCCACATGGAGTCTCAGACCAACAACATCGGATGTTCAGCACTGTGAAAACTGGGCTAACAGCTACTTCGAGCAGTGCTTGTAAAAGTACATCTGCTTCTCAGGCACCATATACTACTACAGCTCTTTCCTCAGCCTCCATGAAATACAGGGTACAGAAGAAAATAATCTGATGCACCTTGTCCTGTGAACTGGACAGTGACACCATGCTGCAAGTGACCAGCTGAGGTGCAGTCCCTGCAAGACACACTCCATGCTGTCGATGCATGCACTTCTGACTATCGATGGTCTTGTTCCCTCACTCTGCTGCACTTCCATTTGCTTCAAGCCCCATCCCTCCACTCTTAGACTACAGGACTCTTTCTCCTGCAATTACCCTGTTTTCTGCTCTGTCAATAACAGGTCACCAAAACAAGACAAAATGATGGATAGCGAGCAATAGGGCAACTGTGGGAAAGACCAGACATTCTAGTTGCTAATTGGCCAGCTACAGCAGGAAAGAGAACAATACTCACAATAGGAAATGGGCATATTGTGACAGAAATAAACAACAAAATGAATTTGGATTCTGATCATGGATGAGCAAATGCCTTGCCAATACCACCCTCCCACCCCCA